TTTTTTTGTTTTTTTGTTTGTTTTTTTTTAAAACGAATGGTCTTTTGCTGATCTTATAGTCTGTCTTTTTTCCCCTTACATGTGAGACATACTGTATTCGACAGTGAAATGTCCATGCTGTCTGTTTGATTTGCCCTCCCTCTCTTCCTGTCTAGGTTTGAGGTGGGTTTCTCACTGGGCTGTGAAGTGATGTTTATGAAGGTCTGCGCTGAAGGCAGGAAGACTGCTAGCACAGCCTGGATGCCCCCATCACTCTTCACCATGCCCCTTAGAGACATCCCGCCCCCGACGCCAGAGTGGGATCCATGGCAACAGTGCCGGCCATTCTGTCACTCTTGTACTATTCATACTACTGCAAATTTCATCCAGGTGACATCAGTGGTCCATAAGGAGAAATTTAACATTGATTACTTATAGTCTTTAACTTGTTGCATACAATTGATCTATGTGAGTAAATAAATCGTGTCATTTGTACCACTGAGCCATATGTAGAATTTTAAGTTTATTGTTCTAAAAGTAGTTTAGCCATGTAGAAAATGCAACACTTAAAATTGGTTATCACTGTTGTGAAAATAACATTTGGGAATTGTGTCTTGGTATGATTTCTGAATAATTTTTATATTTACATAACTTGGAAAAAGCTAAACGATTAATAAAACCTATTGTAACTAACTGTGATGCTGTGGTGTGATGTTTACTGATTGATGTGGTGGTTATAAATTATATTCTAAGTGAACTAAATGAGAGGAAAGACAGTTTACCTTTAGAAGATTTAGAAGATAGAGAAGATAATGTGACTGTCGTAAAGCTTTGGACAGTTTAGTTAAAGTAAACTAAAAAGGAAAAGAAGGAAATCTGAATGGCTTGGAGATATCGCTCTAGGTTTTTTTGGTCTTTGTAAAGCAGACAACCTCATGAGTGGTCATCTTTGAGCCATCTGTTCAACCTAATGTTATTAGGAAGACTTGAGGATCTACACTGATTTGATTAGAAGACACAAAACAGATTAAAAGGGTACAATGTAAGACATAAGTGACGTTACAGTGGTGCAGACACCCTTATTCCTAACAATAAGATCACATCCCTAGTAGGAAGTAAAGAAAATTTGGGGGATAACGTCTATATTTGATACATTTATTGACAATATAATGGAGTACACAAAAGAAGGATGACCTTTTTAGATTTCCTGTGGGTTTTAACAAACAGATTCACTAGAGAAAGGTATACTTTTCACAACTTTTCTGCTTTTACTTGTAGTTTTTGTTCTTTTTTGTGTCAAAAGCCATCCATGAGTGGATCCTATGATTGAGGTTTGAGCATTGTGACGTAACTGCTATCATATCTCCTGAAATCCTATTAAGAGTCTTTAAAGGTCCAGTATTTAGGATTTAGTGGCATCTAGCAGATGTCAACTCCCTAGCTTCACCCTCCCCTTCCAGACGCAAAGGAGAAGCTATGGTGGCCATAAAATACACAAAAGACAACCGGAAAACGCCCCAATCCAGATATAGATAACAAAGGCTCGTTCTATGATAACAAAAACATAACGATTCCTATATTCAGATGATTCTACACTAATGAAAACATGCCTATGAATATTACAGTTGTATGCTAAAATTTGGCCACCCCTTTTGCATGTGCCACAAGGATGTTTAAATAAAACTAAACAATGCATAAATGTTTGCTGCAAATATTGTGTTTTATGTTCCACATCGTCGAGAGGCTGTTGTGTTTAATGAAAAAAACATCAAGGTGTTTGACCTGCTCTGTGGAGTACATCCTAACTTATATGCCTTTGTGCCATAACCGAGTTGCTGTCATAGTGTACTTTATTACTAGCACAGACAATCCTGAAGGCACCTAGAGATAAAGGCTCTTTCACTCTCACTCATCGTTAAATCAGCACTGACTTCCAGAATCCTCTGGGCAACAACATGGAGGCGGGAGGCTTGTGTGGTCTTCGGTAGGTGAGGATGGGAGGGCGTTGTCAGATATCGGTGAAGGTGCTGAATGGCCAGGTGGATCCTAATCCTAGCTGCCAACACAAACAACTCCTCCTTCAATACTGATGGTCCTGAAGCAGCCTCGTCTGTTTTACATTCCGCCTTGGGGGGAAAAGGCATAACTTAATAATAACCTTAACCTTACTTAATAATAATAAACCTTATTTTATTTTGTTTTGACTTTGATTCTGGTCAAGATGCCGTAATTTGAGAACATAACAAATGAGTCTAAGAGGAGTATAAGCAAAATACAGCTTAAATGAAGCATTTGAACAAGCAGCAGACACATTACAATATACTGTTTAATTGACATTTTAATACTGTAAAGCCTTTAAGCTACTGTAAGGGGAACAGAACTTTAAGAGGTTTTTAAGGCATATTGTCAGAACTGGAAATGCCAGCAACTGCAACATATACATGTAGTTCGATAAAAAATAGAAAACTATGCTTCACCTGAGCGCAGCATGTACCCACACTGAACTTTGCCTGTTGGCCTCTTGCCAGGAAGGACACAAACACTTTCTCCCTCCCTAGGACTCGAACCCCAATGGTTTTGTTGAGGGACAAGAAAATGGGGTGCAGTGGAGTGGGAGTAAGGCTCAGACTGCCCCAGCTCCACCGACGAACCCTGGCACCCTCCTCATCCAAACACTGACCACCTGATCTGTTTAAGGTCAGCCTGCAACATAAACACACGTATACATAATTTTCTCTGCAATCCACGCATTAAATCATCATTTTATCCTAAAACCATACATTAGATACACCCATTAGTACAGAAACAGGATATTAATTAGCCTAATTTATATGTGCATATAAATATCTGTGTATATAATATTAAATAATGAGATTAGCTATACTTTATTGTTACCAATGTAATGCTATTAAACATTTGATAGAATATAAACATTGCTTTGTATGCTACCATATGTTTCCATTGCTGTGATAACACGTCGCCCTGCCATCAGACTGGAATATGGCTCTAACTGGTTGACGGGGGGCATCACTGTCATCATACACGATGCACACCCTTCCATTTTCTTCAGTGACCACGACAACGAGAGCCAAGAGGCCTGACGGATAACTGTTACCATGACGATAAGGATGGGAACACCCACTGTAGAGTACATGTTGTATTGAACATATAATCTCTCTTTATTGCAATTGTAGTACCATCTCTCTTGTTCAAAGCCCACTGAAAATCCAATCCAGCTAATTTAATCACATAATAACAATCTACACACATTAAATTGTGAGTGGATACAAGACCTGAGCAGAACCATCAGGGAACACAGTAAGAAATTTCATGTGATTGGAGTAATACTTCTGTAGAGAGTCTGCCCCATCCTGTGAACAAATAAGAAAAAAGAGGTTTAATGCAAGTCGTTTTCTCATCATTAAGAGTAGTACTGAGCCTGTTTGCGTCATGTGTCATGTATTTTGGGCAGGTGTGTGTAAAATGACAAAAATAACAACGGAGTGACAAAATTGATTTCCCCTTGAGGGGATTAAAAACATAGTTCTTCCTCCTTCTTTCTTCTTCTTCCTCCTCCTCCTCCTTCTTCTTCTTTTCTTCTTCCTCTTATAAGCTGATCAGACACAGTGTGACCACATGGGGGTAGTGTATATATGTATGTGGAAAGATTAACATAGAGCAATATATAGATTTATATGGCTACTAGTCAAATAAATAATTGTTATTTGTATGATCTCATATAACAACAATTACTCAATAACTTATGTTCTTAGTTTTGACTTTAATAAAACAAACAGTTTTTTGCTACACCGGTCATGAAAGAAAACAGTGAAGTTTGTGGGCACCTGATGATGACATATGCCAAACTGAAGTGGCTTGTGGTCACAAAAAGGGACCAACACGTGCTCCTCTTTCTCTTTTGTTTTCAAGTGCTTCTCAGTTGCACTACTAGGATAAATGGTCCAGCATCCTTTTCCTGGAGCACAAGAGAGCCGGAACCTGAGCACCTTTGATGTCGTGGCAACTAAAAATAGCACAGAACAAACTGTATTAGTCTCACAAAGCTATTTAAAGTTTTTCACAAATAATCTGAACACCAAGGCGCATGACAAACACACACAGTATGCCAACTCGTATGTTTGTTTATCATGACTGGATGAACATATTTAAAGCAGTTACTCACAGGTTTCAGCTACAGGTAGTTGAATTGAGTAATCCTCGTAGATTCTCAGTTCTGATTGTTCTCTAATAAAGCATACAGATTAAATTGTTCTTGATTTGAATGCTGTAAAGTTATGTTGATTAAGATTACCATTTTACTGATCTTTGTGTTTGTGTGTTGGATTTAACATGTATGATGTGAATCTCTAC